ATCCCACGTTGCTCTGCAGAGCTTTCTCTGGGTCTCACAGAGATGGCCCATGGTGGTACAAAGGTGTTAAAGCAAAGGTCAGCTTGGCCAGGTCACTCCAACTCAGACACTGGGAAAGAAGTTGGCCCTGAGTGAGGTCTTGGTGTTACAAAGCCAGTTCAGAAACTCAGTTCAGAAGCCCAGGGTGGGCTGGAGAGCCTTGCAGGCTGGTCAGCTTTATACCCTGTAGCATGCTGGGACCTCTGCAGCACTGCTCTTGCAGCAAGGAGTGGGAATGTGACTGTCAAAGGCTGGGAACTAAGCCTCACTCACCAGAAGCAGCATGGAGCAGGTAGGTGCTGCCACAGCAGTTGGCAGGAGTCTGTTCCAATGGGGAGAGGAATCTGCAGGTGGCAGGAGTCTGCCAGTTTCTTCTGCACAGGAAGTTATTTACCCATCTGCAGACACCCTCAGCTTCTGATGCTGATCTCACAGCAGTCTTCTCTCTCTGGCAGAGCTGTGGGGTGGACTTTGAGGTGAAGGCTTTCTCAACAGAGAATGTGGAAGAGAGAATTCATAAGAGGTAACAGAATGTGTCTCTCTTTTGCCCTTCTTAAACGGGGTGGTGGTCCAGAAACACAGCTTGGTTGCTTGTTCAGCTTTGCCCCATTTATCTGTGGGCTTCTTGGGTGCTGGCACAGGTGAATACAGAATTCCTGCCTTTGCCAAGGGCAGAGTCCCACCCTGCTGTCCTCTGCTGCTTCCCAGGAACTCTGCACGCCTGCTCATCCGTAAGGTGCAGTATGCTCCAGAGAAGCCAGGGCCCCAGCCTTGTGCAGAGACCACCTGGCAGTTCTTCATGTCCAACAAGCCCTTACACCTGAAAGCCTGCCTCAGCAAAGAGGTGAGGGGTGTCCCCTGGGACCCTGGGCAGCAGGGGGGGGTGTCAGTGTCTTCTGCTCCACGTGGCAGCTGCTTTGTGTGGTACTCAGAAGGTCTCAGCCAAGAGTGACTTGTCCTGGCACTCCAGGGCTCTACTGTCACTTGTGTCAGGAGAGGCTCAGACTCTGTTACCAGCCACATTTGAGGCTAAATAACTCATGGAAGGAAAGGAGATGAATCATTGGGAAGGGTCATCTTGCCTTATCTGGCCCCAGCGTGAGGAGATTTAATCTGGAGGAGCTGGAGGGGGTTCTGGCTTGGCCAGAAGCCTCCTGACTGGATTTCTGAGCATCAAATTCCTTCTAGGTGTACTACCATGGTGAGCCCATTCCAGTCACCATCACTGTCAACAACAGCACGGAGAAAACAGTGAAGAAGATCAAAGTTCAGGGTATGGATTTACTGTTTCTTGGGATTCTTTGGGGGCAAGGAGACTGAAAGAGAGCCAAAGCCTGTGGAAGGCAGGGGGTGAGATTTGGAGGAGTTTCAGTACTGTGTCTCCATTGCACTTGGAGCTGTGGAACACAGTCTGAGAGACAAAGGATGAGAAAGGGAACAGAAGACAAAACTGCTGAGTGTTTTACAAAACCCTCTAGCAGAGGAGGCCAGTTCAGTGCTGCTTCTGGATGCACTGTCTAGTGATTCCCAAACATTTTTAGGCTAACACATCTGTCAGGCTTCAACAGACCTTCTTGGTCCCCAGAGTCTCCTCATCAGTGTTTCATTTAGAATTGCCTTGTAGTTTTTTGGGTGTTTGACCATAGAATATAAGCCACTGATTATCACAGACTCTTGACTGCAGTCTGCTTGATGATGGTGTCTCCTGAAAGCAAATGCTTGGGCTGTAGATAGACAAGAGATACCAGTGACCAGAGATAAAAGTGGGTGTGCTTAGAGAAGAAAGAGGGGGATGTTTATAATGGAAAGAGCAGGATCCTAAGGGGAACTGTGGGTTATTGACTTATCTCCAAATCAAAGCTGGGTGCTTTTCAGGGAAGAAGGACTTTGGCCATTTGTGTGCTCTTGGTCTGTCCTGGACAGAGTGACTGACCTGGGGGTCACTTCAGGATCTAAATGGATGGGTTTTCCTGCTGTCCTCCTCATGTTTTCCATTCCTGAGCCCCAGGGTGGGGGCAGCCCTGTTGTTTCTGCTGCACACACCCAACTGATGTCTCCTTTCTCCATTCTCCCTCAGTGGAGCAGGTTGCCAATGTGGTTTTGTATTCCAGTGACTACTACACCAAAGTGGTAGCTGCTGAGGAATTACAGTGAGTGAATGCTCTGCTTATCCCTTCTTGCTCCCTCCCAGCCTTCTAATGACCCTTCTCCTCAGTAATGGGACGTGCTCCTAGCTGTAGCCTGGCTGCTGCCTGCTCTTGCAGTGCTCTCCCCTCCCCTTTGCCTCATGTGTGTCTCCCACACCACCCATGCTCTCTGGATGCAGGGGTGCCCTTTTCACATAGCTAGCAGGGCCCCTGCACCATTTTTCAGAGAATGAGAAGGCTGCAGAAGAGGTTTGAAGAGCAGTTACCTACAGCAGGGGCTGTGGCACCCTCCCCAGTGCTTGAAGTCTTGAAATAGAGATGCAGCATTTTTCTGAAAGGTGCTCTTGTTTGAGTGGAGATGCTCTGGTTTGAGGTCAGTTTTTACACACCATTTAGTTTCTTCTGACCTTAGAAGGCCTATGGCAACCTTGAGCCTCTTGACATTGTGGAGAATTCTTGCTATTTTGCATGGCACTGGCAGTGCAGCATTGAACTTTGCTTTCTGAGGAGGGCTGGGCACACCCAGACACTTCATATTTTTCTGGTGTTTTGCTCTGTAGCTCAGGGGCCTGTTTTCCACTGGGTATTGATCTTCTCAACTAGGATTCATTCAGTCCAAAGTTGGAGGTCTGCAGCACAGTTTGGAAGAAATCTGCCCTATTCTGCAAGTGCTTGTTCCCCATAGAGGGGATTTTTTGGCTAGTTTGGATATAGACAACTGCATTTGGAGAGAGAAACTCCGCTCCCTTTGGACAGCTTTGTAACCTGTTATGAAATAGTCTGGGTTGGGTTTGTGATACAAATCAGAGTGTCTCCCTTTCTTCCTCTCACCTGCTGGTTATTTTCAGGGAAAAGGTGCAGCCAAACAGCAGCCTGACCAGGACACTGACCCTCTTGCCCTTGCTAGCAAACAACCGGGAGACACGGGAAATAGCTCTGGATGGAAAGCTAAAGGATGAAGATACCAACTTGGCTTCTAGTACTATGTGAGTAGAGTTTTTGATGGTCTCAGGTAGTGGAGGGTTATAAAGCAGAGGGGAGGATTCAGGAGACACTTCTATCAGGAGTTGGTGAGTGGGTCTCCACGTGGGTACATCTGAGTTGCATGACCCACCCTGTCGTGCTCACACAGGGTAAATCATTCATCACAGATCTGGAGAGGGGGTTGCTGTCCCTCAGGCTCCTCTGCTTTGTCACTTCCAGGAGAACAGGGTGTTCACCTAGCTCTTGCTCCAGCTGGGTTGTTGCTGTGCCACCTCACACTGCTCTCTGTTTTCTCTGGTAGCATTAAGGATGGAACAGACAAGACGGTGATGGGGATTCTGGTTTCCTACAAGGTCAAAGTGAAGCTCACTGTGCCAGGGTAAGAGTAACAGACTTTTTGCCACATCTGCCTAGACTTAAGAGAGGGGAATGTTGTGTATGTGACTGATGAGTGGGGAGAAGGCAAGACAGCCCACTCCAAGAGAAAGGGCACATATTGTAGAACGTGAGGCTCCCTCTAAAGCATAGATTGCCTGGAAATGAGTCTTGGCCTATTTGAAGAACTTTTCCTGTAGCCAGAGGGGTTGGATTACCTTCCTTAGATACAAAATGACTTTACAACTGAAGTAGGAACCTCTGGCTTGGATTGAAATTTCTTCTTTCAAGCCATTTTTGGTTTCAAGCCACCTATTTTATGACAACTGAAACTGTGTGAGCCTTTATGTTGGTGTCCTTGTTCTCCCAGAGCAGAAGGCAGAGACATCTGCCTGAGAGTCACAAGTACTGTAGCTCAGGTTCTGTGCTGAGCCACCTTTCTGGGAGAGGCTGATGTCATAACATGAGCTAGTTCCCACTATACAGTGCAAAACAGGGCAAGGATGATAACTCAGTTGGTGGTAATCACTGTTTACATTTGTCTTTCATTCATCTGTCCTGCTTTCTAGTACAAGAATGAGTCAATGATTTCCCTAAAGCATGGTAAAATGACTGCTGCCTTCTGTGGTCTCACAATTGCCCTTACCCTTTGGTTCTCAGAGGAGCCACACCCACCTCATGGTCAGGAGTTCAAAAGCTGAGGCTCTTTCTCCATGGGAAGGACATGAAAAATGGAAATTACCTTTTTAGAAGACAAGTTTATTTGGATGTTATGTTTTGTGGCAAGTAGAAAAGAGTACAGGAGAGAGGTGATTTCAGTAGTCCACCAATAAAGCAGCATTTGGTAGAGCACTGGAGTGGAAAGGCACTAAATATGCTTGTTTTTCTCCTTATATTGTTCTGTAGCATGCTGGGAGATATCACCTCCAGGTAAGTGTCAGCTTCCTTTTCAGACTGTGCAGTTGGAGTTGTTAATTTGTCTTTTTACCTTGTCCCTTGAGCTGATAGAAGAAACAATTCTGTGCATTCAGCTGTAAAAGTGAAGCAGTTCCAAAAATACCTTTGATTTTGTGTACATGCAAATGCATTCAGCACATAATAAACCCACCTTGTTAAAGTGGAGATGCTGTGGAGAAACTGGAGAGAAACTTGTTCAGGGGAAAATGATGATTAGAAAAAGATGAAAGAATGGGTGAAGCTGGAGTTCAGGGCTTGGGCTGCCCTGAGGTGGGAAGGGGATGGAACCAAGGGTGAGGGGAACTGTGGGTCTGATGCATTCTCTCTTCTCCCCACAGTGAGGTGGGCACAGAGCTGCCCTTTCGTCTCATGCACCCCAAACCTGAGGAGAAGAGCCCAGCAGGTCAGTTCTGCCTGGTGTCTGCCTTTCATTGCTCAGCTGAGAGCTTACATTGCAGGGCTTAGAGAGATTTGTTCTGCAAGAAAGAAGCCTTTAGACTCTACAAGACTCCAGTATAGGGGTTGCTCTGTGTGTGTGTGTATAGATATATAAAGTTTATATATATCAGCTTCATATATATAAAAAAGCTTTGAAGGCACAAAATACCAGGGAGGAGTGATGCTAAGATGGGAGAATGTGGAAATGAGTCATGTTCCCTTTTTGTCTTTCACCTGTGGAATCACAACTCAAAGCACAGGGGCTGGAGGAAGCACTGCACAGCTAAATCTGCTGTGCAAAATGTCCTGAGTGAAGCTGTCCCAATTCCCACCCAGATTCCAGCATGGCAAACAGGAATCTGGCACAGAAAACACAAGCATTGTAAAAAGCAAAACACTTTAAAAGTGAAGTGAAGAGGTGATAGGGACTCTGAGATCATCAACAGTCTTGTTCTCTTGATGTGGCATCAGCCATGGTCAGTGGTGTGGCCTTTATCCTCAGTGGGTCTCTGAGAGGAACATCTCAGAGGCAGGTCAGTGAATGGCAGTGTGGGAGCTTGAAAGCAGGGTAAGGAGCTAGCTTTACCCCAGGCATGCTGAGGCTTGGGACCAGATGCCAAAACTGCAGGCTGGCCTGAGCATCTGCTCTCCTCCCACGTCCTCAGGCCCTGACTCACTGCTCTCTGGCAGTGAACAGAAACTGCAAGGTGCTTGCTCTAAACCAGAAGCTCCTGTGCAGCATCTGAGGCAGCTATGGGACACAAAAGATGATGCCAGCCTTCCAGTGTGGTGGCTGTTACTAATGAGTCATCTTGTCCTGCCCTGTTTGGACAGAAGTTCACAGGCTTCAAACAAAATCCCATGGCTTCTTCTGCACTACTTTTGTTTTTCTATTCTCTGAGCCCAAACTTACCTAAAGCTGCTGTTTCTAAGGACATTGCCACTGACAGATGATGGTGGAACCTGTGAGAAGAGTTATCCTGAGATAGGTGCTTTGTGCTGTGCTGGAAGCATTAGAAAGGAGTCACTGAGTCCTTATTGTGCAAAACTATTGGAGGAATTAAGTGAGAGGGGTGAAGGAGAGCCTGGTGTGACCCACTCCACACTTGGTTGCTCTGGTTTGGAACCAGTGTTTCCTAGTTATGGATGTGCTGGTGTGGGCAATGGTAGGTTTCTGGCTCAATGGTTGGACTTGATGATCTTGAAGGTCCCTTCCAACCTAAAGGATTCTGTGATTCTATGAACTGCCCTAAAAGAAACTCTCATTTTCCCTGGAAAACCCCTGCTGTGAGCTGTGCCAGTGTGGCCTCTTTGTGCAGACACAGAATATGCTCACAGACGGTGGTTTTTGTGCATGTTATACCCCTGTTGGAGTAGTACAATAAGTCTAGGAACCACCTTCATGACAAATCCACAAGGCTTATTCCCTTCTCACCCCCTTTCTGCTATGGCCACAAAGGAGACAGCCCCATCACTGAGTAGCAGCACAGGACTCTCCACAGCCACGGGCAGCCCAAAGCTGCCTCCAGCTGTCCTGTGAGGTGGAAACTGGGTCCTCAGGGCTGTTCCATAGGATGAATAAGGTTGGATCCCCTTGGAGAAGCTGCTGTGAAGCACAGGCCTGTGTTGGTGTGTAGCTCATGCTGCAGGCCAGCAAAGCTGCTGCCATCAGAACACTGACATGCTGCACACTTGGTCCTGATCTCCCAGGGGTGACTCGCTGTGGGAGAGCTGCTTGGACAAGGGTCTTCTCCCTCTTCCAGTAACTTGTCCATACCGAAGCCTTTCCCTCAGGCTTCCCTGCAGCAACCCCCCTGCCCAGGAAGCTGGTGAGGGGCTGGCACTGGTCCCAGTGCCCCAGGAGCGATGGCTGCTGAGGGCCATCTAGTGCCTGTGGGGAGCCTCGCAGGGCAGGGGAGCTGGTGGGGCAGCCCTGCAAAATCTGCAGCTTCCCTGGGTACAGAGAAAGGCTTGAAAACTTCAAACGAGGATCATCCGAAGGCTTAGGCAGATGTAAAAAAATTCACACCAGTCTAAAAATGTAAAATTCTTACATGTCCTTTTTTTGGTGTTAACAATGCTGTGGCCCCCTTCCTATTCCTGAGGTTTCAGGCAGATAATTCTGGCAGAAGCATTTGAGATATCAGGGCAAATGGAAGTCAGCCAGTTCTCCCTTCTAGGAGCATTTCAAGGGGTGGCTGATGTACTCCTCTCTACAGCACACTGAGAAGGATGTGGGCAGAAGACTTTACAAGGGAAATGGAGAACTGTAATATTTCTCAGATGGCTTCCCCCAACACATCCTCCCACCACAGGCACAGCCCATGTATTGTTTGCTACATCAAAGTCTTCCAGGAGTTTGCTGTCAGAAGACAACTGTGGTTCATGGAGTTTACAGGTGGAAATCGTGGGTTTCTTACAAACTAAAATACAGGTAGCTTCAGGAGCTTGTCCCATGGGAAAGCCCCACAAATCTGAGAATTAATTTGAGAATTAGATGCATCCTCTTAGAAAAAGATCCTGTAACACAACTGAAAATGCCTCTGAAGCCTGCATAGCTGACTTAAACTGTGATGGAATGTGGTGTCTGAGCTCATTACAGGGAATAAAACAGCCTCCCATATGAAGCTGGTCAGCTAAAGCTCTTTCTGGCTTTCCTGGCTGGTAGTTTTCCATGCACTGTGCTTAATCACTCTTCCCAATTATAAGTTTGTGCTTTTAAAATTTTTATTCTACCACCTTAGCTCCTAAACTCTGAGAAATAACGTGCTTTTAATTAGTGAAATACCATCTCATTTGGAACAGAGTGAGTCAAGATTTAACTGCAGAGACAGAGCTTCAACAAACAGTGTTCAGACTCCCAAAGGCCCCAGAGGATGGGGCTGTTCTCTGCTGGCTTCTCCAGCATCCTCTGCAGTGGGTGTGGGCAGGGGTGCATGCCCAGGGAATTTTGAGATCACTCCTTATCATCTTTTTCCGTTCCCTTTTTGGCTCTACTGATGAGTCAGTAGTAACCCATTTGCTTACTGCACCTCCCTGCTCACTGGGGTGTCACTTCATCTTGATCCACAGCTGGGAGAAAGGGAAGAAGTCAAAGCAGCCCTCTCAGAGAGGTTAGAAAATGCCACGTTATGATTTATGCCTTGCAACGGGGCAATATCCTCTTCTCTAGCCAAGGTGATTCATGGCAAAAGTAACTAAACCAAAGAGCATCAGTATATTTAACCATGCAGGGTTTATTTGGGTGTAGAGAACCTCAGAAAGAGAAAACTTCTCAAGAACAGGGCTTCATTTTTTTTTTAGGGCCTAACTGGGGCAAGAGTGATCAGCTGCTGTGTGCTTTATTTCCCAGCAGATTGCTTTGCCCTTTGGATTTCTGTGTGAGCGAGCTCTGAAGCATTCATCAGTCAGTGAGAAGAGGTGTCAGGGTGCTGGCTGTTGCAGATGGCCTGAGGAGACAGGGAAGGAAAGACTTGTTACCTTTCCCTTCCCATCTTTATTTATAGCCTCCTTCTCTTGAGCTTCTCGTGGGCCAGCATTTGCATGTTATGCATGTGCTGCTTTTGCAACTGTTTTTGGCCCCATGTGGTTGCCAGGTGGTTATTTTTAGGAGAAGCAGCTCTTGCCACATTGGCAGCCTGTCTCTTCCCCCTGTTGACAAAAACGTGTAGAAATCTGTTTCTTTTCAAGATAGATTCAAACTGGGCCGTGTCTCTTCGTGCTTCCAAGACCTTCCCTGGTCAGCAATTAGCTCAGAAGCTCCTGCTGGGTTTTTCTCAAGGCTGTGGTCTCAGTGTGAGTTCTTTGGTCTGGGGTTTTCCTGCCTTTCTCCTCATGTTGTATGTTTTGTGGGCCTGTGTCTTGGACTGGCCTTTGTTTTGACTGTTGTTCAACAAATGGGCATTTGTCTGTTCCCTTGTTAAACTCCCAAAAAGGGCTGGTTTCACTAAACCTATAAATGCTTTGTCCCTTTAATGCTAAAGCCATTCCTGCCCTGTATTAGAATTAGGATTCTAATTATAAAAATTTCAGAAATTACTGAATTTTTCAAGCACTTGAATGTCTTGGAAAAACAACACAGCCTACTCCCTTTTTTTTTTTTACTCCCCATAAAGTTAAGTGAGGTTAAAAGCAAGCTTATAATGGTAATTACCATCTGCCACAGCTTTAATTAGATGGAATCCTTTCTGTGGCTGCATAACAAAACCTTAGAGAAAACCCTCTGCAGAGAGTGTGATGCCATTTTGGAACACATCGATCCTTGAGCACGGCCCCCTCTCATTCCAACCCTCAAAAAAGTGCTAGCATGCCAATTAAAAGGAGGAAAAGTCTACTCATTTTCCATTTCCTGAGAGTTTTTCAATACTATAATGTTAAATAAGCCACAGGACAGCAAGAAAACTATATGGAGTGGGCCTAACCCCTGCTAGGGTGCAAATATAGCTATTTAACAAGCACTATGGGATGTAGTAGCAGCCTGGAGGTAAAGTTACACATCTTTGAATGTAATCCTGCCTCTGAGGTAACATTACCTCATAACAGGCATTATTCCACTGCCACACTACCTGTGTGTTGCCTCAGCACTCATTTGTCTGACAGTCAAGTATATACCCAAGTGAAACAATGCCTGTTTGTCAAACCCCATTGATGGGTATCTCACTCACATCACTGGTGCCACTGTCCCTGTAGGAATGACCATGCTTCAGAGTGGGGAAAGAGAGCAGGCTATGGAAAGAACAAAAATTGGAGGAAAAATTAAATTACAACAACGTTTTGTGCTGGAAATTTTAGAAGTTCTAAATATTTCATTTTAAATCCATTTCAATCAAGCATGCACGCCCTGAGATTTTCCAGACTGCATCTTGGCTTCTGTGAGTAGAGGAAACCATCCTTTCCCAGTCTGGATAGACACCACCAAGAATGTCTTCATATGATCCATCCTTTGAGGCATTTTGGCATGTTGGCACACTTTTAAAGCTGACTTCTCCAGCAGTGACAGTTGCCAATTGTCTTGTTGATTTTAGTGCACATTGTGGGTGGGAATTCTCCAGGTAAGGAGTTAACCAGTCACTGAAGCATCCCAGATCCCTGGTGACTTGGGTAGAACTCATGGGATTTTTTTGGCTGGAAGAGATCTTTAAGATCATCAAGTCCAACTGTTAACCCAGCACTTTCAAGCTGCCACAAAATATGTCCCTCAGCACATCTACATATCTTTTAAATATCTCCTGGGATGGTGAATCCACCACTTCCCTGCACAGCCTGTTGCAGGACTTGACAACTGAAGATGATTTTCCTAATTTTCCAGCTTAAACCTCCCCTGGCACAACTTGAGGCAGTTTCCTCTTGTCCTATTGCTTGTTACTTGGGAGAACAGAGCAACCCCCTCCTCACTACAACCTCCTTTTGGGGAGTTGTGGAGGGGAAGGAGGTCTCCCCTTTGAGCCTCTTTTTCTCCAGGTTAAACAATCCCAGTTCCCTCAGCTGATTCTTGTAAGACTTGTTCTCTAGACCCTTCACCAGCTTTCCTGCCCTTCTTTGGACATGCCTCAGAACCTCAATGTCCTCCTTGTAGTGAAGGGCCCCAAACTGAACCCAGTACTCAAGGTGCAGCCTCACCAGTGCAGAGCACAGGGGGACAATCACTTCCCTTGTCCTGTTGGCCACACTATTTCTGCTCCAAGCCAGGATGTTACTGGCCTTCTTGGCCACCTGGACACACTGCTGGCTCATATTCAGCCAGAACCCCCCTCCCATGTCTTTTTCTGCTGGGCAGCTTTCCAGCCACTCTTCTCCAAGCCTGGAGTGTTGCATTGGGGTTTATTGTGACCTCAGTGCAGGACCTGGCACTTGGCCTTGTTGAACCTCATACTATTGGCCTTGGCCCATCAGTCCAGCCTGGCCAGATCCCTCTGCAGAGCCTCCCCACCTTCAAGCAGATCAACACTTGGTTGTTGTCTGCAAACCTACTGAGGGTGCCCTGAATCCCCTCATCCAGATCTTTGATGAAGATATTAAAGAGCACAGGCCCCAGAGCTGAGCACTGGGGACACCACCTGTGCCTGGCTGACAGCTGCATTGAAATCCATTCCCAACTCTTTGGGCCTGGGCATCCAGCCAGTTTTTTCTCCAGCAAAGCATACACCCATCCAAGCAAGAGTGGTGGCCCAAGTGTGCTTTGTTCCCTGACTTAAACTCATGAGAAGTAAGCCAGTAGAGTGACTGTTACTTGCTAAATATAAAGTAACTGTGAGAATAAAAAAAAAAACCTCCCTGCCTCCATTTCATCACTGCAATATGATCTGTTCTGCTTATTTTAGGCTGTGCTGAAACAGCTTCCAAGGAGTCCTGCTAGCAAGGAGGATTTGTTATGGTGGTGTTAGCAGAGATGCCATTAAAGAAACAGAAGTCCCAAAGGTGTCAAGATTTTGCTTAGGCAAGGATGAAATCAGTATTGCCTCAAGTGCCTCAACTCTCTGATGAGAGCCCACCTAGGCCCTTCTGTGTTCTGACCTAATTTGATTTTAAAATCTTCATGTTTGTTGAACAAGAACATCATCTCATCAGCTGACTGCTTCAGTTATGGTGGCAGATGAATTAAGGTTAGCATCATGGCATTGTCCTCTCAGAGCAGACACGTGTGCACGGATGTCCCTCAGCTCTGAGGGCTAGCAGGCACAAGTGGGAGACTCTCCCCTTGTTTCTCAGCCCTTCCCATGTCTTGGGCAATGCTGCTGTGGTGCTTTTCCATTTGGGAGAGGGAGTTGTTGCTTCATCAGGTGGCTGTGTGGACATTCTGGGAGTTGCTGGAATGGTCCTTGCATCTCTGCAAATCCCATCACTTGTTTTCTCTTGTCAGTGTGTACATTTTTTGCTGGTTTTAGCATCTGCTGTTCTAACTGCTTGGTGTGTCTTTTTCCTCCTTTACTGCATGCTGATAACTGCAGGGTAAGTTTCTTTTAATATTTCACATTCAAGCCTCAGTGGTGCATGGACTCTTTGAGAACTACTCAAAATTTTCCCAAAAAATCCCAAGGGTTCACAGAGAGTACAAGCTTAAATGCAAAGTGAAGTTACTGTGGCTTGACAAGTGGCTGCTGTCAGCTGAAGAGCAACGAGTGACCACGTTTTGCCTCACAGTCTGAGGGAGGGATGTCTGTGGTCAGCTGCTGCTCTGCAGCTCTAAGTTCCAGGAGCTCACTAGGTTTGACCATGTGCCCCTGTTGTAGTTCAGAAGGAATTAGGATGAAAGTTTTCAGATTTCTAGACAAAGACCCTTTCAGCCTGCAGACTACTCAGCTAGCTGATAAATATTTAGCTGGAATGGACTTGATCTGCTACAGATGAAAACCTCCTCATTTTGTGCCCTGGCTTGCTCAATCAGCTGCTTTTCATACTAGCTAGAATGCCACCAATGAAGATGGTGCCTGTGGGAATGGGATCCAAATCCCTTTGAAGACAAAGGAAAAATTACCAGAGTCTGCTCTGGGCTTCTCTTCTTACTCCTCTGTATTGCCTTTAGTCTGCTGGTATTAAAGATTGCTGACATCATTTTGAAAGACCTGTGTTCCTTCCATTTCAGTGAAGCAGAGCTGGTATTTGAGGAGTTTGCTCGTCAACAGCTAAAAGATATGCTTGATGATGAAGATAAGAATATGCCCTCAGCTGATGAATAACTAAAAGAACAAGCTGCCAGAGAGCCTATGTAGTCTGGCATCAGTTAGAAATTTAGGAGCTAGGTTACTAGTAAACTGTGTGTTCTCATGTATGGTCTTCAGGGATCAGCCCTGAGGTCAGTGGACATAAACCCATGAATCTCTGTTGCTTATTAAAGTTTTCAGCTCTAGAGGAACGTAGCAAACTCAAAACCTGATGCTTGCTCGAGCTGGCAGAGGAGAACAGGAAGGCTGCCATGCCATGACTTCTGCTTTGAGGGCTACCTAATAAGAAGGTTGGTTGCTTTCACCACTGGTGATGGTTTGTGCAGCCTGCCTAGAGTCACTTTTGGTGTCAGAGTCCCTGGCTTTGAAATGCATGGGAACCAAGTCCTGGGCTGACAGGCTGGCTTGTGGCCTTGGGTGACTCACTGAAGTTTCTCAGTGGACTCTAATAAACTGATTTGATTTCCTTTGGTTGCTTTTATGCTTATGCTGTACCAGACTCATTTAGTGAATGTCATCAGTGCTTGCACTGTCCCTCCTCTGTGTCTTATATCCACTTTCTGTACCATTAAATGTCTTGCAAGTCATCTTCCACAGAGGCTATGATGCTGAGATACAATGTTAGCTTTCTAGCAGTATTCTTAACAACCACATTATAAAAGATGAGAGAAATGTCCACTGTCCATGAATTCCTTAACAAAGCTCCCTGTACCCTACCCCAGAGAACTGCTCGTCCAGACTCCTCTTGTATTTAATCTAGTTTCCTGTCTGCAACAGTGCTTCAAAAGAGGGTGCAATAAAATTGAGGAGGAAATTATGGGGCAGGCTGCCCCGAGGAGCCTTTTCCAACAACCTTCTGCCAGAGGTCGGTTTGAACTCTAAGAAATGAGATTGTATTCTGCAAACTTTGTTCTTGCACTGATCTGGTTATTCTCATTATCTGTATAAACGTCTCATCCTTTTCTGACTCTCCCTTAAGTTTTGGCTGAAGTGAATTGCATCAACTAATTACATTTTGCATGTACAACAACTGGTGTTTTCTTTTTCTTCTTTTTGCTTTAAATCTGCTTTTCAGTGTCTACTTTAAATTTTCCTGGGAAGGCTGAATACCAGGCCTACACTTATGAGTATAAATTTAGGTTTCCCACTTTGTGCACTGGAAAATGGAATTAAGAGCTTCCCACTTGTGTCTTAGTTAACAATGATGTGCTTTTAGCAGAGAAGAAAATGAAGGAGACATTTTTGAGATGCCAGTTCAGCCAACCCAGCTTGCCCACTCCCTGGCTTTGGTTACTGCTGCTAAGTGTCCCCAGCCAAGGCAGCTTGCTGTGGAGAAAAGCCTGGGCTGTGCTCTGCATATAAAAGATTCTGCAGTAATGCCAGGCCTTGTTTTTTGAGCAGAGACTTGTTTGCTTGTTTGTTTTTTCTTATTGACACAATCACAATTACAAGCTCTACTTCTGCAGAGGGTGCAAAGGCTTTAATCAAGCAGCTTTGTATGTGCCCTCTAACACTTAATTTAGGTTAAAAGTAAAGCCTTCTCCTGTTTTGCTTCTGTAAACTGGTCTTAAGATGCTGAAAGCAGTGAGATAAGGCCACAGTTCCAGCAGTGCTCTCACCTAGTACCACCTGTCAGTGTGTTGGGCTTCACTAGTCCCAGCTGTCCCACCTCAGATGGAGATGCAAGAGGCAGTGTATTCCCTCTGCTCTCTGAGCACTCTGTTCTTGGCTCCTGAAGAAACCCTGTGGCTGTTTTCAGGTGCTCCTGGTCACTAATTGCTGTGCAATTTCAGCTTTGGTTTTGGGGGAGTGCAAAGTATTTGCACCTGGATTTCAGGTAAGGCTCTTCTAATGATTGTCCTGGTATTTTTATTACTAATTTCTTGGTGGCTCCAAGAAGAACACAGTGATAGGTGTTTCCTTCAGTGTTCCTGGCTGCTGGACCTGTAAGTAGGGGACTAACAAACTTACGGGATTGTCTCGTTATTTTTATTTATCTTTTTTTTTTATACATTATAAGGCATGTCTGTCGTTGCCTGACATCCCCCTCAAATTCATCTGTGTACAAAACCACAGTGCACTCTTGCACTGAGGGGAGGAGCCAAAGTGGTTATTAAATCTGTTCTTTTGCCTGGCTTAGGAAGGTGCTTCCTGACATTGATCAGTTGTTTAGCCCATGCTGAATATTTGCTCAGAGAGCAAGGTTTGTACTGCTTCCTTCAGCTCTGGGCTTCTCTTATTCTGCCCTTCACTCAGCAGAAAAAAGAAGTCCAACTGGAACTGTTTGCCTTTTATCTTTCCTTTGGAATGGGTTGCCCAGGGAGGGGGTTGAGGCCCCATCCCTGGGGGTCTTTAAGGCCAGGCTGGAGGAGGCTCTGGGCAGCCTGATCTAGTGGGAGGTGTCCCTGCTCATGGCAGAGGGGTTGGAACTGGGGGATCCTTGTGGTCCCTTCCAGCCCTGACAGATTCTGATCTGTTTTGGCAGAGGACTTTGGAGCCCTGGTGGCTCGGTGGTTGGACTGGATGATCTTGGAGGTCCCTTCCAACCTAAATGATTCTATGATTCTTCTGATCGACCTCTTACGTTGATGTCCCACCAAGTCAGACCTATAGCCTGCTGCTCGTATTTACAGCCGGGGAGAGCCCCCCCCTGCCCTGACCTGTGCTTTTGATTTTGGACACAGCTTTTGTCATACGATGTGGCCTCTGTGCTTTGCCTGGCCGCTGATGGGGCTGGGTCGGTGACAAATGCTTTCCCCTTGTGCATCTTCATGAAATCCCAGCCGAATCCCTCTCTGCTGTCCCGTAGGTGTAGCTAATGAGGGGTGGAATTAGTTGGGGGGGTAAGGCCACATCTGTACTGAAAAATACGGTGCTGTGTGGCAGCCGGGGCCCTTCCT